CCAGGCATATTTGGCTGACTGCAAGCGCCTACCTGGTTCTATTGATCCATTTTGCAGGCACCTCTTGACGGGGCTAGAGTACTACGCGTGCGAACATGCGTCATGCACGCATGCGCGAGAATGCTGGGCAGCTCAGTGCGCGAAGTCAAGACGCGCGTCAAGCGGCATCCGCGTACGAGCATGAGTCAGGCCTTTACGCACTCAGCTGCTCTGCTACTTCGCGCTGGTAAAGTCGCTCGCGCATGAGTGCGTGCGTGCGTGCGTGCGCGTTTACAACGCGGATGCCGCTTGACGCGCGTCTTGACTTCGCGCACTGAGCTGCCCAGCATTCTCGCGCATGCGTGCATGACGCATGTTCGCACGCGTAGTACTCTAGCCCCGTCAAGGGGTGCCTGCAAAATGGATCAATAGAACCAGGTAGGCGCTTGCAGTCAGCCAAATATGCCTGGGTGAGCCCAAAGTCTCGGACACTTAACGCAAATCCTTCTTGACTTAGTCGGCTAAGACGGTCACGCCTAACAGCCACTATGCTCACAAATACTTCACAAATGTGAGTGATGACATTTGTGATGAGAGTGAATGTAATCCGGCATAAGAGCCACTATGTTCATAACTGCTTCACAAACTCCAGTAATGGCAATTGTGATGGGAGTGAATGTAATCCGACAAAAGAGCCAATATGCTAAACACAATTTCACAAACGTCAGTAATAGCATTTCTCTCCAGACCGAATGAAATGCTCTATATTATGAGATTAGCATAAGATAACATCACAAATACCTGTAACGGAATTCGTCGGGGAATAAATACGGACTGTAATTAACAATGAGATGGACATTGCTGACAACTACTAAAACCATTACTACCACGACTACTACTAATACTGCTACTACTACTACTACTACTACTACTACTACTACTACTACTACTACTACTACTACTACTACTACTACTACTACTACTACTACTACTACTGCCACTACTACTACTACTACTACTTACACTACCAACACTACTACTACTAAGATTACCACTACTACTACTACTACTACTACCACCACCACCACTACTACTACTACTACTACTACTACTACTACTACTACTAACACTACCAGCACCACCACCGATCAGGATCAGGTGTTGACATTCCAAGTGCATCTCAACGGCGTTTTCCCGGACATTCAAATTACGATTGTGGTGAACTAAAGACCAAAGTGTTCCGGAAAACGACAAGTACGTGTCGAAAGGGACTGCATTGGATCGGATGACAAGATTGCATAACCAAAATACCTACGGCGGGTCTTCACGGCCAATGGCTACCCGCGCAACTTCGTCGACCGGTGCATACGCAAAAGGGACAACAGGCCTAACCGCACGAACACCAAATATCG